TAATTACTACAACCCAATCTGACAGATTTTTTTGAAAAGGCTAAAAAAAAAAAAGTCTGCCAATAGTGCCACTGCTCTCACATGTATCCACCACTGCTCCAGAATCAATTAAATTAAATACAGGAATAATGACCTGATGATAACATTACTTATCACTACACTATGCTATGCAGATTGTTTACTCACCTCGAGATGGTGGATATTTGAAAGTGGAACTGAATTGCTGTCAGATTAATGTGGTTGGCAATTATCAGATCATAATATCACTCAAACACAGTCGTCTTGTGCTTTAATACGAAGAAATATAAATTTTTTTTTTAATAAAACAGCAGTTTTTGGAGTGCTATAAACTTACTTAAGATTTAAAATAAAAACCAGACTGAAAAAGTCCAAACATGGCTGCTGATACCTTCTGAAAGGCAATCTCCACAATGAGGCATTTTATCAGGAGCGAAACAGATTCCTACGACTTTGGTTTCTGATCCGGAATAAAGGCTCGGTTTGTGTTGACTCTCTGTCAGACGCTGTTTGTTTAGTCTGAGGTTCTCTGGGATGGGTATTAAGCCATACGTCGAAGCTGCACCGCAAACTTCCAAGCGTCACAGACACGAATGTGAGCTTTCGTCTTTCTGCTTGACAACGATTTCCAGGCCGTTATCACATAGCTACAAGCCATGAACAACAACCAAAAACACACACACCCCATAACTAAAGACCTTCTAGGGAAAGGTACAGGTGTGTTTCTCCCCCCTAAGCACTCATCCCTTTTTGAGGTAATACCACACCTTTAAAGAGGGACCTCAGAGAGGAGATCAAACATCACAAGATAAATACGCCCTCTCATTTTTATTTTTTAGCCCTACTCCTCTGTGAGCCCCAGTTGTAAGGTGACACCTCTCCATCACAGCCTCCAACAGATTAACACCTGTTCTCGGCGTAATGAAGTGAATCAGAGTGCACGAATTAACATCCAAGCCCCAACATAACCCGGCTTCTTCCTTCGACAGAAGCAACTTATGGAGGCTGTGGCCCCCACCACCATCCCAGGTGATTTTTGCTATTCCGTTTGTGCCCTCTGCCTCCACCTCCCGCCCCTGTCTGCTGTACATAATGGTCCCAGCCCAGGGAGGAAGCAGGCATTTACTTATACAAAACCTAGAGGAAATCCCTACCAATCCTCAGGGCTCACGTTCACCGGCGCCCAAAACACAAAGGCTATGCAAATCTGCCCAGCCTGCGTTTATCTACCCTCGGTTTCCGCTTGCACCACGGGAACCAGCATTGTGCCTTGCGTGGCGATTATCGCATGTAATTTACATAGAATACGCGCAGGAAACAGCGCGCTGATCTTTAACAATGCAGGGGGAGGAAGAAAGAAAAAAAAAAGGGGGGGGAGCCTCTATCGGCTCAGGAGCTATCTGACGGCGCAGCAAAATTACAGGTTTTAGCTGTGGGGTATTAAATCTACAAGGTGTCTGCTGTTCAGGGTACACTACCCCCCTCTCTTGCCCCCAAAATGTTGCTTGTTTATCTGCCTTGTTTGTTTTATAACCCGAGTCGGGCGGCCGCTCCGTTCCAGGGAAGGCTGCGTCTTCAGCCGGGCTAATCTGCCCCTCTGCCTGTGTTTCCTTTGTCACCGAAGCCGTGTATCAACACAGCGAGGTGCCGCCAGATTTGAGGAGGTGTTTGGTGCCGCACAAAGACTCTCGTGCTAATATGCGTGAGTGCGCGCGCGCGTGCGACTGACATGAGACCGTATTGTGATCGCGAGGAATGGCAGTCATAACACTGCAGCATGGCTTCCTCCGTACAAAGGCCGGCACTGTACGTTCTCTGTCAGGAACTTGAGACATGAGGGCGAGATGAGAGATCAAATTCCTGATGTGGACGCTTCACCTGCAGGGCCGCCGGAGGAACAGGGAAGACTGGCTGCCTGTGCCGCGCTCTGGCCGGGGGAGCAAATAGAGGTCACCGTGCATACCTTCAGCTTCAAACAGCAGCTGAATGTTAAAGGCCCTGGTGTGGATTTAATCCCTTCAGCATTTTTTTTATAATAATATTGTGTGTGTGTGTTTGGTGGGGAAACATAATAAAGCTCATAACCAAACAAAAAGACTGAATGTAAAACAGATTCCAGATTTCGCTTTCTGCAGACGTTTCTTTATGTTTGCATAGTTTCTCTCCCAATGAGGTGGAATGGATTGATCTTAATCTGGGAATTCTGAGGAAATTTTCAAAGGAGCTTTCTTCCCCCCATAACTCAGATATTTGTCTCGGATTATTGATGATGCAAAATGCGGTATGAAATTGCACAGAGACAAAGCTCTTGGCACCCAAGGTAGCAACGTGGACCAAGGTTTAAATTAAATGTCGCTTGTTACGGTTGTGTAATTGGACACTGAAAATGTTTTCAGTGAGTGGCTTTTGTCGGTTGGACTTGTTGACCTTGAGCAGCTTTTGTTGTTGTTGGTTTGTTTGTTTGTTTTAAGGACTAATACACATAAAAGATGGTTCCTTGATAGAGATAGCAGTTTTGAATCCAACTGAAAATGTAGGCGGTACAAAATCATCCCAGTTTATGCATTTACATCTGTATTCAGCTTTATCTGATTTTCCTTAAACTTTTAATGCATTTAATGAATAAAAACTAAATAAAATCCAATCATAAACCAGATCCAAGCAAGGGGGAATTGTCAGGTTGTGGTCACTCACACATTAAGTTGTAAGTTTTCAGCTCTTTTGACACAAACTTGTGGTGTTTCTTAAAAGCTGCTTGGCATTTAACTTGAAGTGTTTGCAGAAGCAGACAAATGTGTTATTTACCTAAAAAGCCTCTCATAAACATATAGATATGGTAAAATTGACACATATGTTGTTATTCAGACACATATTAACCTCAGTCCAGAACACCTTAAGAGAAGAAGTGAAATTCTGGAGAGATTATGCAAAGATCCTTCTGTATGTACGCTTTTACATTGTGACATTTTGCATAATCACTACTTGCAAAAGAAACAATTGTTCCAACACTGATTTAGCTAAAAACATGTCCCTCCCCCACCCCCCCTTAAGATAAATGCATTTATTGGATGAACCAAGCTGGATTTTTCTTCTTTTTTATTTCTAATGAGACTATGCTAAAAAAAAAGAAAAAAGAACACTTTAATGTCCTTAACAGGGGTGCTAATGACTCCGTCTGTATTTGTTGAGATCTTCTTTAATAATAACATCCTTATTGGTAAGTCTGTCGTAGGCAGACACCCCATCTGATCCTATTCTAAGAAGAAATGCAAAAGTACACAGCTTTCATTAATACAACACTGATTCATTCAGAATGGCCCTCTGAAAGTCAGTCACAAGCCTAGCATGGGTTTCAGAGAGTACAATAGGCCCCCTTACAGGCTTATCATCCTCGTCACTTTTATCATCATAATCATTGGCGGTATGATGCAGCTCCGTCATCAGTTAGAAGTATGACACTAACGACTTCCCTCTCTTCTTTATTTATTTATTTTTATTCTTGCCAAAAAAAAAAAAAAATATGGCTAAAAGTTAAAAGTGGCAGAAAACGGGAGGGGGTCCATTTTAAACGGCACCTCTGCAATGCCCGTGTTTAGAATAACCATGAAAAGAAATCCGGTTACACTGGGTTAGCATTTGACATGGATGTGAATGCTTTAATTTGCCCGAGAGCAAATATCTACAAAGCTGAGATTTATTTCAACACCGCTACCAAAAGAACACACAACCACAAATATCTGACTGTTAACAACTGCTTTGGGGTTTATTTTACAATTGAGAAAGAAAAGGAAACAAACTAACCGGTGCTAAAAAGTTTGTTTTCTTTTTTTTTTTTCCTTTTTCTTTTTTACAATATTGTCAATAAAACATTGAAATGTATAGTCATTGTGCATCGCTTATTTATTTTTCCACACCATTTCATGCATCAAATTGGATGCAAGTATAATTAAAATCATTTCTGTAAACCGAGCCAAAGTAGCTTAATTTGTATTTTTCTTTAAAAAATGACATTTTGTAGCTCTACAGCATATATTTATGTACACCATCTGTTTTTATGCTATTTTTTTTAATCATTTTTCTATATAAAATGACAATATAAAAGTTAGAGAATGCACACACCTTAAGATACAAAGAAAGTGGAGCCTTTTTAAATGGTATAAGATATGTCTCATGGAGCACTGACATTTCACTGGTGGTCATTTACATGTAACGGACTGTTCTCTTTACAGCTGAAGAAAGCGACACAATTTAGAAAGAGAAACTCGTAACAAACCATACAACTGGAAAATTGCTATAAAGTGATGCTTCACAGCAAGGAAAGTTTCTTTTTTTTTTCAAGAGCAAACTTGCATACCGATGGCTGTTCACTTTCACCGATTGACTTGTAACCAAGAAGCAGCATTTTAATTTTCCAAATGATCTTTTTTTTTTTCTTTAAATACACCAACAGATTTATGAGCAGGCTATTCAATATTAAAAAAAAGTGGAGAAAAAAAAGAATAATAATAACAAGGGAGAGGAGTTAGGAAGGTGGGAATGATAATCCTCGGATCTTTCCAAATCAGATTTTAAGAAATGCGAGATATTTGAAAACATGTCCTCTTCACAAATTGAACTGTCTAAGGTGCTACTGTACTTCAGTCTTTCAGGGTACATCCTCCTTTCATTCTTTTGGCGTACACATTTAATTGTTCCTCTTCTTGATATCAAGTATTACACAGTCCTGACTTCCACCAATTTTATGCCACTTTCGCCATCGAAGCAGTAGTTGTATTTTTGCCATGAACAGATTCAAATCTCATGTTTAACCTTGTTTCACTAAAATACATGCACAGGTCAGACAAATAGCATATAAATATTTTACAAAATAAGTGTAAAAAAGCTTGGCAAAACAAAACAAAACAAATAAAACAACATTGAAAGAAATGGTCCAGTCAGGCAGTCGTCAACTAAAAATAGTAAGACTGTTTTTTTTTTTTTCGTTTTTTTTTTTTTTTCTTTCTTCTGGCGGCTCAGTTCGGCCCAGTGCAGTAACTGTGAACAATGTCATTTTAGTGCAATGAAATTCTAGTCAGTTCCACAGCTGTCAGTCTTTTCCCTCAGCAGCTCACGGATTTGCTTGATTAAACTTTTTCCATTTTGTCGAGCTTCTCCAGTTTCTCCAGAGCAGTGACAAACACCAGGTGGTCCTCTGGAGACTTGCCATGGGTCTTGCTGAGGTGCAGTTTGACTGCGTGTTTGCTGACGAATGTCCGATTGCAAAGTCTGCACTGGTACACAGAGCCCGTGTCGTCCTCCGGTGTGGTCAAGGCTGACAGTGGGCTGCCGAATGTCATTTTGTCTGTGATCACCTTTGAGGCAGCCTGCTGCTCCCGTAGGTGCTCCGCTGACAGTTTGGACAGGTCCTTCAGGCTAAAGCCCAGGTGAGATTCCAGGTGGCTGATGTAGGAGGAGGGAGTCCTGAACTGAGAGGCACAGTCACCACAGAGGAACACGGGCTGGCATGAGTCCATGTTCTTGAGAAACTTGGTGCCCCCAGTCCGTCTCAGCTGATACTTCACGTTTGCCAGCCAGTGAGATATGGTGGTCATCGAGAGCCCTGTGAATTTGCAGATGTGGACCCTTTCCTGAGGGCCCAGGTCGGTCATTGCATAACGGCCCTCTGGGGTCTCCCTCAGGCTAGAGGCGAACTGTGCTTGCAAGATGAGAAGATGCTGAGGATTCCAATTGGACTGCCTCCCTTTCCTCTTCTGTACCGGCGAGAGGTCCTCCAGGGCATCCTCGAATGCACTGCCATCGGCATCAGACTTCTCTGAGATGGAGGAGGGAGTTGACGATTTGGGCGTCAGTCGTCCTGTGAGGTTCTTCACCATATCCGAAATGTCCATTAGAGCATTCTCTCTCAGAGGAGAGGAGACAGATTCAGGGAGGGAGATAAGAGGCTTGTTGCCGTTTACGCTATTGTTGGTCAACAACACGCTGCTGCTGTTGGTATTGGTACTGCTATTAGTGGTGGCCTTATTTTTGCTCAGGTCTATGGGCTGGTCATTACTTTCATACAGCTGAAAGTGGTTAACGGGCTCAGTCGCCTTGCTTTGAGGAGTTGGGGTAAAAGCTGGTTTGTCCATCATGCTGTTACTGATTTTGTAAAGCATGGACAACGGATCCGCTGCTGGACTCACAGGTTTAGAAGCCTTTCCCAGGTGCGTGTTCATGATTGACTGGAGTGCACTCAGAGGGTTGATAAAAGGACTTTCAGGTGAGTGGTCCGTGATGATGCCAAGACTGTTCCCATTTGTTACTGGAGACTGGGATGCCTCTGAGCCATTTTTTGAAGTGTTGCTGTGGCCGTCCAACAGACTCTCTTTGGGCTCCTTCTTACAAATAAGCTCAGAGTCTACACTACCTGGGCTGATACTTCTCAGGCCGGACAGTTTACCTACAGAAAGGTCGTTTGGGGACGGTAATTGCTCTCTCTGCTCTCTCAGTGCAGGAGAGGGCGATTTCACTAATGACGGTGGCCTACAACGCTCTAGACTGACCAGCTTTTCCTCTTTTTCTTTCTTCACGGTGGCAGTTTTTCCTGTCACTTTCTCAACAAGCTCCTCCATGGCAGTGACGTTACTCCTGAGGAGAGTCGGGGAGGAAGGGCTACGAGGGGAGTGGATGACGGAGTTGGAGTCACTCACAAGACTTCGTAGCCCACTATTAAACATTGGCTGCATCTGAACGCTCTGGACGGTTGGGGGAAGAACAGTAGCTGAACTTTTAATTGCACCTTGCAGCTGGTAGGCAGCATGAATGCTAGGATAGCCACCCCATGTGGGAGTGCCCGTCTGGGCCTTGCTGATGGCACTGGATACAGTGTTTTCGAGAGACTTTAGTATATCTAAACCCTCTTTAGGCGTTTCCTCCAGATCTTCTTCTCTAAGGTATTTATAAGATGTAGTATCAGTTTCTGATTTCTCACTTGCGTCATCTTTCTCCTCCTTGATTTTTTTCTCAATAGGCTCACATCCTTCAAGTTTTTCATCCTCTAACACCTCTCTTTTATCCTCAGAGCCAGAGGAGAGGGCAGGGGATACTGGTTGGGATTTTACAGTACTGGGAACAGGGAGTCTGGTGGTGGTCGGTGGTAGTGGGATTGACTGAATCTTCTCTTCCACCACTGGATCAAAGACCAACTGTTTGCCCTTCTTAGATGCAGAGTTTGTAACCTTCAAAAAGTGACCTGTAACCATCATGTGGGCAGTCAGCTGTTGCAGTGTGTCATGTGAACTCCCACACTCCATGCATTTAAGGATCTGCGCTTTGCGAGCCTCAAACTGCCACGTGTAGCTGGCACCATTTTGGTAGCCATAGCGGTTGTTCGGCGTCACGTAGGGGTTAGCGGTAGCTTTCGAATCTTTGCCCATATCCCCAAGAGACACAGAACCACCGCCACCACTACCAGCATGGATGGAGTCTGGGGAGCATGGAGAGACTATAACATCTTGAATAGCACGTTTTTTAGCTGAAGTTGGCACCAGCTTAGTAGCCAGGGCTGGCACGGGTTCTTTGAGAGGCACTTTCTGGTAATGCTTGGTCTTGATCATGTGTACGCTGAGATCTTGTAGGGACTCAAACGAGTGGCCGCAGTACATACACTTCAGTACTTTCTGAGCATCCTCCTTCCCCTCCATTTCCATCAAGGATCGCTTACGTGGTTTGGACCAGCGCTTGCCCTGGTCCTCCTCTTTGTCCTTGTTGTCATCGCGATAGTGGCCCGTCTCATTCATGTGAACTGTCAATCCCACTAGCGTGTCATAAGCGGCGCTGCAGTCTTTGCAGCGAAACTTGCTTGCACCAGTAAAAACAGAGCCGTAGAGCTTGTTGTTCTGCCGGTAGAGCTGCACTGTGCTGAAGAGACTAGGCTCAGGTAAAAGGTGGTATGGGGTCTGCTGAAGAGTTTTGGCGAGCGCTGCCTGGTGCCAGTCATAGGCTACACCACTTCCGTTGCTGGCTCCACCGGCACTGCTTCCACTGCTGCTCGTCGCGCTGTGGCTGCTTGCGGAGCTAGTTGTCGTACCATTGGTGTTGGCACTCGCGTTGCCTGTGTGGTTGACAGTGTTGGTGGAGCTTCTACCGTTGTGGTGACTGTTGGCCATGTTCACCACACTGCTCTTGTTTGTGGTTGTAGTCGGTGAGACAGAGACAGCAGAGACAGGCTCTGGAGTCGTGTGGGCAGTGTTGACACTGCCGGCTGCAGCAGGCTTTGATTTCATGATGTCCATTGTGATGCTAGACCAAGAGGCATCTGAGATGAGGTTTGCATAGACGGCTTTCATCTGTGCCAGGCTGTCCTGGAAAGACAGGCCGTTGTTGGGACGGTAGGGCGGAGCAGAGCCTTCCCTCTCCTGACCATCCCTGGAAGAGGTGCTCTTGATATCTGCAAGTCTGTCGCTAGCGTCACTGAGTGGAGACCCATATCCGGCATCCGGGTTAGTACCATTGCTAAGTGGAGAGTCTCTGTAGCTAGGTGGCTGGCCTCCATCCGCATCCTCCTCTTCGTCATTGCACAGGAACTCCGTGTCCTGTCCGTCTAAAGAGAGGCCATCATCCTGCAGGTGCTCTTCCTCGTCATGACTGGTTGCCTTAAGCTCATCCTCGGGCATGTATGCTGTAATGCAGAAAAGAGAAAGAGGGGGAAAAAAAAGAGGTCAGCTCGGTGAAATTAAAAATTAACGCCACACTAACAGGACCACTGACAAAATAACAAGGAATGAATAGTCAATGATGGAAATGCAGGCTTTTATTCTCTTCCAGAGTGTCTGTGTGTGTGTGTGTGTGTGTGTGTGTGTGACTGTATGCATGCGTGAGCTTGTGTGTATTTTACACACATGTGGCTCTGAGAGGCAGTGGTGAAAAAAGCCTCCAAGGGAAAAATAAATCGCTGAGCTTCTGACAGTTGTCCTTTTCCTTCTCGGCTATCTATTCTTCCACACGTGTCTCATGTTCCCCAGGAAATCACTGGCTGTTTGGCCTTGTTAGCCCAGCTGCATGCTTGCATGCTCAACTCCTCTTCCCCCCTCTCTTTCTCTCTTCTCCAATGTTTTTACTTCATTTTATTCATCAGGCTTCATAAAGTCCACATCTTCACACACTTAAGTTCCATCAGAAACTCGTACCTGAAATTAGTAAAATTCTACTTTGGAGATAGTCTAGCTTTTTGTAATTCACAAATTTTGAGTTGATTTTCATAGATGTATGAAGAAATGAGTTAGAAAATGTTCCACTTTATCTTCCCTGACCCGAAGCTCGTTGTTTTTACTGACCTGTAAATGCACCACACTGTCCAGAGACAGGATGCACAGTCTCTGGTGTGGAGACTCGCACTTTTACTTTTTACCAAAAACAGTAGAAGTTAAATGTGTATGAAACCATTTGAAAGACAGCTATTTCTAATTCATACACTCATTCACAATTCATCTTGATTTAAACAGGGGTTGAGACATCACTAGATAACATAATGGCTAAATGCATTGCACCAAAGTTGTTCTGTTTTATTATTTTGAGTTTTCAGCTTTCAACTAACATGTTACTGTCCTGTAACATGCTTGCAGCCCTTTGGTTAAACACCCCTTAACCGGTGTCCAGTGTCTAGTTGACTTACATGCAAGTGTTTTGAGGGTGACAGTTAAAGGCTCTAAATTCATGAAGGAATACAGCTAATTATGCTAGCTGCCCAATATATTATGCAATTTAGTGATAGCGAATGTTTCGTTTTGTAATTTCATTGCAAATTTTCTCTGACACACAAATGGTTAGCCTACCCTTTACCACAACCAGACCTGGAATTAGCTAAAATCTGTATCTGCAGGTTAACGTTTTACAAAAAAACTGGTGAAGGAAAACAAGTTTGGATTTGTAAATCTAAGCTTGAACACTGAAGTCAAACTCCTTGTTTGCACACACAATCTTGGTCTCTAAAGCTAATCCTGAATGCAGAATACCTGCATGTCGTCAAGCTTTGCGGTTGTAAAGTGAATGAACAACCTTCCTCTGGGTGGAAGCTGTTACTATGGGAAAGAGACTCAAAACTAGTTATTTTTAGAACGAGCGAGGAGTTTAAAAATGAAGTGAGACGAAGCACAAAAAAGTAAGAATGAACGTTCTGACATCTTACTCAGCAGATGACAAGAAGGCTAAGAGTAAAACAACAAACTTGTCCTGTTTTATCCTTTTAAGTCTTCAAAATGTCTTAAGAGTCGAATGAGTCTCCTACATCTGAGTTAAGGTAGGATACACATCTCTGACTAAGAGTCGTGAATGCTAATCAGGCAAAGCGTAGATGTTAAAAGATAGCTCAAAATGTAAATTCCGTAACCGGAAATCGGCCACAAAACCCGTCCCTGGAAAAGACGTGTGCATCCACATGCTTGTGGTAGTTAGCTAAGCATCTGTAAGCTACAGAGCAAGAAAGCGAGCGAGTAAGGAAGGGATAAGTGAATGAAAAGATGTGGGGAAGAAAGGAAAAGTAAGCAGGAGGAGGTGGTGGAGGGAAGGGCTGTAGAAGGGAGAAAGAAAAAACATAGGGAGAGGAGTAAGTGAGTGAAGCAGGGAGACAGGAAAGACAGCCCCCTAGCTTCTTCCTTTATCTCCTTCCTGCATGGTGAGATGTGAGTCCTAGATGCCAGTATCAGTCTCTCCTGATGAAACAGATGTGCTGTCAACTTCAAACGGCACGCTAACCTGTCACATCATAATCTAAGTGGACATAATACCTGATATATATACACTGGCACCATTTACTGCTGCCTGAGAGGAGATGGGTGGAGGAAGGGGTGGGGGAAGGTGAGCAGCTGCACCATCAACTGTGACTGCATGATGATGATGATGCGCATGTGTGTGTGTGTGTGCGCGCGCGCGTGCACGCCTTTGTAAATGCGAGTTTGTCCGCACGTTTACCTTCCCGTGCATATCTGTGTATGCACTTTTTACACTTCATACGTTTGCTTGTAGAACGCGAACCCAGCAGCCACCAGCCATAATGTTGCCTATAAGTCTGAGTTCGCCGGGTACCCACTGATACATCCCTCCCCCAAATGAGCAACATACTCCCCTAACGCCTGACAAGATTTCTGTGAAATGAGAGCACTACAGGAGAACCTGGCTGCGCTTCAATCCAACTGACAGACTGAGACCGAGACAGTTTCTAAAACTCCTGAAAATCCCTAACACAGCAGATTAGCATTATGTGCTGTTCTCCCTACAACACATCTGCAGAGCGTCTTCTGTTCCAGCACCTCTCCTCTCCCATAACATGTTGCCAGAGAAGCGGGCTATCAATACGCATCAGCCATTTAAAAAAAAAAAAAAAAAAAAGAAAAAACAAAATACACAAACGCATCCTGGAGAATGGCTGTCCGCTCTTCACCAGCTCGGCGGCACAGTGCAAACATGCGATAGGAATTACCTACGTGAGCAACTCATGTCTGCTGTAGCCAAAAAGAAATAATTAAAAAAAAAGAGAAGCTAAACCCCAATATTTGGCAGTGTTTAACACACACAGAGAGCAGGTTGAGAGGCGGCGGATCAGAAATATCCCTGGGTGAGTGACAAAAAAACCCAAAATGCGCCAGGGAGGGGCTTGCAGCGATGAGCAGGTCACCAGGGAACCCTTTGACGATCCCTGTCAATCAATTCCTGTCCTGCCATGTTGTCATGGAAACAACAAAGAGAGGAGATATCAAAAGCATGCAGACAAAAGACTGGCAGCAACCGACATCTGTAAGAATCACAGGCAGCAAAGTGGGCGGCTTTGCACGCCACCAGCGAGCGATATTAGTGATGAAATGTGGTTAGCGTGAGCCTGATCGCTTAATCTGCATCTGTTCGGACGGGACGATGAAACACGGCACGTGATGAAGAGAGAATATCAAAAGCTGCACATCAGCTCAATCACCGCAACTTGGAAGATGCATGCTTCTGACTGGCGAGCAGATTAGGCTTCTCACTTCCTCCACCTCCCATGCCCTCTTGTCTGGTTCTGGGCGCACATAGGCACAGCGAGCATCGGCAGCGACGAGGACGGGGCTCAAGGAAGGGGCACGGGGCTGGCAGGGGCCGTCCCTGGTGGTTTGGTTTGCAGAGTGGGTGATGCCTGTGAGCAGGGCCAGCTGCACAAGCGCCAAAGCGCCTGTCACTTTTGCTCGGGGACACGCCGCCGTCAAGTAGACAGGCGGCAGTGCGGCCAGGACGGCACGGCGTAATCGCTGTCAGAAGCGGCAGCGATCAAGGCCGCCACCAGCCAAGCCAGATCAGAACCATCACACTCCCAGAAAATACATAAACATGTTACCACCCCTCTCTCACTGATCTATTACTAATGCTGTATTGACAAAGAGGAACACAATAAGACACAAAATTATTTTGTAGCCGAGTTTCTTGCACAGGTGCTCACAGCCCTTGGTATTTTTTCACCTCACGGGAAAAGACGTCTACCTCAGGGGCCTCCAACCCTGGTCCTCAAGATCTGCTGCACTGCAGATTTTAGATGCAACCCTGCTCCAACACAGCTGAATCAGTTAATGGCTTGTTAGAAAGTCTTTGCCAAACTTGCTGGTATGCTGACAAGGTAATTCAATCGTTTGATTCAGCTGCGTCTAAACCCTGCAGAACAGTAGATCTCGAGGACCAATGTTGGAGACCTGCGGTCTACATCCAAAACAAAGGTCATTACCCTAAACAGACTAAACGTTCCTATGTACTTCATTCAAAGGTGAGCAGTGGATGAAGGGTAATGTGGTTTTGGCATGTTTGTTTTTGCACACAGCTTTCATACAATGGCACAGACCACCTAGGAGACACACTGCCCTCCACCTTGCTTCAGTATAAGTCACGCCACCAACGCACCAGATTTTCCATTCTCTCCCTATGTCCTCTGTTCAGACAACCTTCTCTGAGCACAACGATGATGAAATTTCAATCCTGGGTTTTTTAGCCATTTGACTAGTTATTTAGTGAAAAAGAGAAATCGCACAAAAGGCTCACTGTGTCAAACAAACATTCATCAACATTACTCCTGTTTGGTCTGGATACAAAAACCGGATAGTGGAAGTTGACTAGTTCAAGAGAAATATAAACTTTGCTGTCCGTGTGCATTTCTAGAAAAAACCACACAAAATAGCAAACTTCTGACCAATCACACAACACTTAGCACGTAGGTCTGTGGAAATAGTTTGACTCAGGCCTGATGTCGAATAAAGTGACAATTTTCATCACTTGAAAATTGATGAATTTTCCATTTCGACACTTCAGATGAAGTGTGTGGGAGCTTTAACAACATGGTGGAGGCTGCATGGTGCTGTGACAACACTTTTCTTCAGCAGGGACAGTGAAGCTGATCAGAGTTGATGGGCAGATTGAAGCAGGTAAATAGAAGGCAGTTCTCCCTTCCAGCAGACAGAACAACCCTAAACATCCAGCCGGAGCTGCAAAGGAACGGTTCATAGCAGAGAATGCTCCTGTGTTACTGTGACCCAGTCAAATTCCAGTTGAGGATCTGTGGGTGGGGGAAAAAAAAACTGAAAACGGATGTTGCAAACATACAACATCTTCCTTCCACTTCACAATTACGCTCTACTTTGTGTTGGTCTATTACATAAAATCTGAATAAAA